AGAGAAATTTTAACTATTAATATTATGAGTCTTAATATAACTGAACTATATAATGGTAAGAAATTATTCAAAATTGTAGTTGATAAGCTAACAACTAGATATACCTCAATTTCAATGTCACACATAAATTTTTCATCCCGAAAATGTGACATATTAGCGAGAACAACATTTGCATGTAAACCATCGTGAAATTCAGTAGATTCTAAAATATTTGAACCGCTATTAACTAGCGGTGATGTTGTGACATTTTGCGATGATACCAACCGTTGTGCAAGTAAATAGTTGCTTGGACAGCTCACTACCGGTGAATCTAAACATCAGCATTTTAAAAAAAGTAGATCCAATAATTACACAATTATAGCTTAGCCGAATAGATTCAGATAGCACAATATCATCAATATCTGACAAATAACCTTACCCTAACACCAGGCAGTTGTTGAAGAGTGATCAGGAATAAAGGATAAAATAAAATTCAATTTATACCATTACTGATGCCACTTGGAATAAAATCCATGGAATCTTCCATATTATTCCGATTTCGTTGATGGCGCAGTCTACTGGAATGAATACTCTGATAAATGGAATGGATTGATGCTCGTCTTCTAATCCGATCTACGGTATCACTACCAACTAAATTGGATGGCAGTGATGATACGGCATAATCGCCCTGCAAAAGATTCAATGCAGTTATACTTCTAGAACGTTTTGCCAATTATACAAGGATATATATAACAAATAATGAATTCAGCTAACAATAAAACACTTTTACCAAACTTTTAATGAAATAAACATTTAGAATGCATAGGACTCTTATTTGTTCTTGATTCTTGACTTTCAAGTTTCGAAGTATTGGAGAATCATGATTACTAGATTAAAATCTCTAATTTGGTAAATTAGTCAACATAGCCTACTCCACTGATATTTATTCCAACCGTGGGTCTTCATACTTCCTCAGTTGACACGTAGCATTTTATAGGACAGTAATATAGAATAACTATTTCCATGAATTGCTCCACTCAATTTAAGTCAAAAATTTCATAAATTTATTGGGGACTATTAGGAAGGCTTCGAGAAAGGAATGAAAAGTAGGAAATCTGTTTTATGATTTCTACTTTTACAATTTTGCAAAGTAAAAGCGTTATTAGAACTGTCATTATTAAAAAATAAATTCCAAACTGCAGAGTTGTTTACAATCTTTCTTTCTTTGTCGGAATCATCTTAACAATTTCTGATCGGATTATGAAAACTTGAAAATTTTTTTTTTGAAGATGAATCTTTGTTTCATTGAAAAAAAAAAGCATCTACTTAACATACAGTTTACTTTTGGAATATTTCTTTCATGAAATACTTAAAATTTATTTCTTCGAAAATACTTTTATCTTTTCACATTGTCGCAAAGAAGAAAAACAGTAATATATATAGTTCTCTCATTTAAAATTCACTCTTCATGATAGCGGCTTCGAACAATGCCTTTTCCTTCATAATATTATGAAAATGGAAATCATGACAGCGGATTTCCTTTCATTAGTTGAGTGCTTTCTTTTGTCCTTGGCTTTTTTCGCTCTATTTAATTGAACTGAATGACAGTATTCGAATTTTTCGATTAACAAATTATATGAATTCTAATGTTCTAGCAGAGAAAACAAATTTTTTCACAAAAAAAAAGCGTTATATGGAATTGTTATGAAAAAAGAATTCTGCATCATTTCTTTTCCATTTTTAAACTGGTCGCGCCAAATGGAAAATTTAAAAGCTTATATATAATCCTTTCATGATGTGTCATGTTTGTCACATCTATATTTCGATACTAAATTTAATCATGGCTCATACTCCGAAAATTAAATTTCATAAATGAGATAAAATATCATACGGTTAACAATGAAGACTGTCAAGAAAAATGGAAAAAATAGAAGTTGAAATTGTACTACTGTTATGATTAGCTATATCCTATTTTAGATAGCCTATTCTATTTCATGTAAATTCCTCATTCTAATTCGTCTAATTTAAGTAAACACTGAATTACAATTTCACCCTAAAAATCCCCGAAAATGAAATTTGAAAAAATTTAACAACAAAACTCATACAACATTAGTTTCGATATTTTCAGCCGTTGTTGTATGTTGCTGTTGTTGTTTTTGTTGCTGCTGTTGCTGTTGCTGTGGTTGTTGCTCCACGGTCAAACTTGTTATCGTATCAGATGACCAAGCAAACAGACAGCTCTGGAATTAAAAAAAAGACCAAACATTACTTATTTATATGAATCAATAGTTCGCAATTAAACAGCAACGTTGATTGACAAACAGCACGCCGAAATGTCTGAAATGTCAAAAACTGAAGATTTTCTATGTGAATGCCATCCGATTGCTTATATTATATACCTATAAAAATGGTAGAGAAATGCAATACCTGAGGTCGTTCAATTTTATTTGCAGAAGGTTTTTGACAACAATAATAAATATTTTATTAAATAATGTCTGACCTAAGTGAATAAGCGAATGGCTTATATGGTGTTTCACTTCTTCCTCATTAACCTAAATTTATTGCATTTAAAAATCTGCCAAAGAAAAAAATCTCACACTCACAAGTTCAAATTATAGCAGTCATCATTACCTCCTTCATTTCTTTCGTTCGGACCTACGAGTTTTTCAAATGCATTGCAATTGCCGGATTGTGTTAAAACCCGGTCACGGGGCTACAGGAAATAACTATTTATAACTATTTTATCTACACATTATTAAACTAATAAATAAGACGAGAAAAAAAAAGAATAAAATATAAAGAAAACAAAAAAAAAATTTTATAAGAAAAAAAAACTTTAATGCAACAAATATGCAAATTAAATAATCGTACAAAAACGAGTACAGTATAATTTGTTTCCTCTTTTATGATAGCATCAACAACAAAACTAATTTCAATTCATTTCACTCTAACTCTTTGCAATTATATTTGCATATGGAAATGATGAAAGCCATAATTCATTTGATGTAAATTTATCGAATTATCGAATTATTGATCCATCTACTACAAATCAAAAATTAATTACGGCATAAAAGATAAATAACAAGCCTAAAAAAAAAAAAACGAATACTTCATTTACTTAAGCCTATATTTCATGTTTATTTATAAAAATAAAATATATTAACCATAATATGTAGCATTTAAAGTAATAAAATATTTGAAATGTAAATATAAAATAGAAAAATGAAATGTTTGTTTTTTTTGTTTCACATTTCAAATACAAGAGACGATTTTAAAAGGGCAATAAAGAAAGTGAAAGATCATGAATGAATGAATGAATGAATGGATGGATGGATGGATGGAAGGAAGAAAGGACGGACGGAAGGAACGCGTCACCCTTCTTTTTCCTTCCTCCCTCCCATCCTTTCTCGACTCACTAACAATCAATTGTCATTGTCGTTATGGAGCGATCCGAAATGTCTACTGCTACTACCATCATTTTTGTCATTCCTTCCACACTCACTCATCATCATCTCCTATCCTAACCAGAAAGAAGAAGAAGAAGAAGAAGAAGAAGAAGCATTAACCATTTACTGTAACAGTTTTTTTTTCTCAAAAAATAGAATTTGAAAGCTTTCTCATTTCAATTGAAATTTTTAACTATTGCATCCATTCTAACCGTAGTTCTGGGTCAAAATTAAACGGAAAACAATATAACAGAATAACTTTCATATACTTTTTTAAATTATACCTTCAGGTATCATAATTGCAATAACTGGAAAAGATGTAAATAATCGGTATTGCATCTTTCTGTCCGTTCAAACAACTATCATCACACAGTTCCTAAACTAGTCACAGTGTGACATTTGTTAAACTGTCACATTCATCATTTTATAGTTACAATACCTCTTTCTCTCCCGTTCCCATCATCCCTCTCATCAATTCCGCACAAACGAACAATAAAAAATCAAAAAAAAGTATGATTTATAGAATGCTGAGAAGATATACCTATACCATTAGAATGTATGTATATTTCTGGCAGCAATTTTCGATTGGATAAAAATGTTTATTTAAGACACCGGAAAAACAACTGCTACCGAAAAAATTCAAAATGCACCTTCTTCATCTAATAAAAACTGAAGTACATCTTGTAGAATCGAAACTTATCATATAAAGAATATATATATAATGTCGTTATTGGACAAATATATAAACCTACAAAAAAAATCTATCTAGCAAGTAGCATACATCTATTCGTATTTGCTGCTAACAAAATTTATCAATTGGTTTCACCGGAAATAATAGATCAACTAGCATAGATCGTTCACTGTGGGACAAAATTTTAAGCATATCCACGTCCTAGCCGTGTAAAACAGTCAAAATCCAATTGTCAAAACCTTATTCAGATGAAATCTAATCAGTATCACAATTTCATTGATGAAAATGATAAAAATAAATAAATGATAAGTACAATAGGCACACGTTTACACTACCTTCCGTCTCACTGTAATGATAACTATTAATATTAACTATTTTTCGATTTTCTAGTTTTTAACTATAATATATTTCGATTTATCTATTAGTGTTTTTACTGTGATTTCACTTATTCTTTATGATGCAAACTGAGTTTTCTTCGTGTGATGAAATGTTTAATGCATGAGAGCATTACGGATTTGTGCACAATCTGTACTAATACAACAATATTTGGGTTATCCAATGAAACGTGACTGTCTGGTGCTAACTGTTTCAGGGCTAGCAGTACCATATCCATAACATCACCCTTCCCCAAGCTATCATTATTTCGCGCCTTAAAATCGAACAAGTACGTTGGCCATTTACCGTCTTCGGTCGAATGGAAATGCCTTGAAATCAGTCGACTCACTTCCTGAAATCACCATTAATCCAACTGATAATAAAGAAGAAAGAATGTACTTCCATTTATTTAAAAATGAAAATGTATCTTGACCAATTCAGGTCATGACATCTGCTGTGCATTATCTGGCTTCCCAGATGTAATCATTGTTCAAATAACCTTTGTTTTAAATGATTTCAATCACGTTACACAAAAATGATGAATACAATACGAAAAAATCATTTAAATTTATTTAACCAGTAAAGAAATCTTCTTTTCACAAGCGTATCGGTAAAAATCATTTCGTATTGTAAGTAACCAATAAATGAGTCCTTCATCGAAGGAATCGAAACAGAGAGCAGAACAGGATAATAGGATGAGAAGAAGAGGGAATGGACAAACTGTATATTATTCAAGAAAAGGATGATCAAGTAATACAATGAATCATGTCAATTAAGTGTATAATAGAACTTCTCATCTTCCTGTACGAATGACTTCTTTAGTGACTATCCTAGTTTTAATACTGTCTAATAATATGAATCTGATAGATTTTTCAAAGAAATATAAGCTATAGATTACCGTATCTATCTCGACCATATTCACTCGGCAAGTCCTTTCTACCGGCCAAACTCGTTGTAATAGACGACAACATCGCTCTCTCAGCACCATTTCAACAAGGTAATCCACGAAATCATATATATTCTGATCATTTACACCTTTCACAACAAAAAATAAGCAATTATTCGCACCAGTTGGTCGTTGCCATATTTTCCGCTTTTTGACATTTCTGTTATCGTTTCGTGCTACAGATCTTTATTCAGTTAATGAACTATTTTGAATTACTTATCAAAAGTAATTGTGTAATGGAAATGTCACTTACTTAATATAGAATATTATGAGGAGATATATACTAAATTAATTAGCCATTTTCTGTTATTTATCTCATTAATCTCGTATATCTGTGCGTATTTATTGCGCAGGTTCTAGTTAGAGTCTAAAAACATGGGTATGTAGAACGAAAATTATGATTCTATGTTTTCTGTCAACATAATTTTCCAACGATTTTAATCACTTAGCCGTGTCTCTGTCTAAGAAACAATAATTTCGATATTGTCTAATAAACAATCGATATTGTCTAATAAACAATAAAGTATTCAAATGTTTTCTTGCCTAAATTTCGAATAAGTTATTCTATTTACCTGTTGAATTTTTTTAGATCCACTTCTAACTTTCTTACAAAATCGTCGGATAGTACTTAGGCGAAAGAATATTAACTTCAAAAGTAATTTATAAATAACTGAACTCAGGTTAATTACTACAATGATAAAAATGTCTACTGTTACCTGGCAACAAACCTATTATAAATTTTAAAAACAAATATGTAGGTAAGGAAACTACTAAACTGAAATGACGTATAAGAAGTGTAATAAAATAGTTGCAAAACAATAAAGAAACTAATAAAGAAATAAGTTATAAAAAAATTTCTTTCAACTCTTAGCAAAATAACTTTTCTAAAATATGGACCATGTTTTTTAAAGTTTATCGTTCCCTATTTCAAAATCTTTTAAGGTATTTATGCCTTTCAGACAAATCAACGGATATACAGAATGAATGCAAAAAAAAAACAACTGTTTAACTTTGAAAAAACAAAAAGAAACTGTATGAAATAGTAATCTTTAAAATCTATGTCAGTTAATAAGAACTAAAACCTTGATCACAGAATCGTTTCACTGAATCTGCAACATCTTCCAGATCACTATTAAAATTTGTCCCTTCCTCGTTATCATCGGAATCTTCTAATAGGTCATTCTTCTTCCATATTTCCAAAGCTTGTTCAATTACATTGTATGCTTCACGTACTGCTTGCTTTTCATTTCCATTACACGTGAAGAATAATCCAGAACAGCCTGATTCCACCCATTTTTGTTTTACATTTTGATTATAACGAAAATGATTACGTCGTTTTTTCTTCTTTTCCATAGAATTGCCTTACTATTGAAATGATTCGGTTAAATATGATATATGAAATAGAATTTTGCAAAATTTAAGAATATACGCAAACAATATAAGAATACCAAATTTAAATTTCACTCCATTCGAAATGAATATTTTAAGATCAGATTTACTTATACGTTCACAATCTCATACACTCATACCTAAACAATCCCACCTAATTCATTTCAAAAACAATCATAAAATCGTCGTGCACCACTCGTGACAATTTAATTCTGCCAACGTATGCTCGAACTATACGAGTGCCGCAAATTTAAAATTTCAACTTAAAGTGAAACTTTAGTGTTCAAAATTATTACGATTTTATAGTTTGTCACTATAAAGTGGTATTAATAGCAAAATTGTAAATAATGACGAAAAAGTGTCAATATTAGTCGTTGAAATTTGTAAATTTTATTTGATAATAAGCATATTTCATAACAGAGAGAATTTATGATTTTTAAAAATAATAAATAAATCCACAAGACTTTTTTTTTTTAGAATTTTATTGAAATTAATAAAAGTATCTGAATTATTTAAATTACTAAATTTATACGAGTATGTAAATTTCAGAAAAAAATTGTAAATAATGAAGAAAAAATGTCGATATTATTTGATAATAAGAACATTTCATAACAGAGAGAGTTTATGATTTTTAAAAATAATAGTAAATAGTTCCACAAGACTTCTTAGTGTTGCAAATAAAACATAATGATGGAGCATTTTTGAAAAAGTGAAGGGTTATTTCTTTTAATGCTAAAATTTAAAATTGACAATCTTTTGCTAACTGCAAAAAAAACAAATTATCAAATAAAGAACTGGAATAAGAGTTTGATGAGCTTCCACATGATAACAAAGTGACCATTGAAACTAAAAATTTGATTAATTGTTGGAATAAATATTGAATGAAAAAAAAAATTGGCATTGATCAAAATTGCTTAACCAGAACCTGCTAATTTAATTTGTTTTAAAATTTGAATTCAATTTAAAGAAAATACAATTTTTACCATTGGACAGTCTGTGGAAATTGATTTTGTGTAAAATTATCGCAAAAATGTCATCAAAAATACTGTAATCAAAAAATCCGAAAATATTTTGTCGCAGGAGCTAAAAAAAATTTAAGAAAGAATTGGAAATCTGATAATTGACAAATAAAACATAAAAAAGCAATCATACGATGCAATTTAAACACTTTTTTTTTATAGTAAAAATGATTTGAGATAGTAAAATGCGGTGAACTTTCACACGAGCTGTTAATAATTGCTTTTCCAATGAATGACATATTTATTTGTATTCAATCACGCAAGATATATTTGATAAATTGATGTCATCAATTATTTGAACCTTTTTCCTATAATATTTCATTCCAAATCAGATCTGTGATTGTAAGTTAATTTTGTTTTTTTCTGATATCGATGACTGCTGAATTACAGTTATTTGAAGGAATCGAACAAAAATTGATTCTAATTTCAATTCTTCTTTTTCAAATGTTTAATAAAATTTTATCAGTCACGAATATTATGATGAATGAGTGAAGAAATGAAATGTAGTGAAGAAATTGAAAAATTATCAATTAATTTGTCAAAAAAAAAACAATTGTAAGAAAGAGTTAAATCAACTTAACTGCACTGTATATTAGCGATCATATCCCAGCAAGCTTGAAGAAATAAATGTATGAGCATATATAAAAGGGTATCAAAATTCCTTTCACAGAAAATTTTGTTTAATTATTTTTAAAAGACTGTAAAATACCGATGGATTTATCAAAATACCAAATTTCTAATTAAATTTGACATTTCTCAATGCATGCAAGTTGCAAAATTTGCGTTTTAAAAAAAAAAAAAAAAAACCAATTGCGTTCGTTTATTTTATCACCACAGTTCGAAATTTTTAAAGAAAAAAGATTTGGAAATGTCATTTTTGGAAAAAAAATTTTTTTCATTCAACAAAAAAAAAATTGCCATTTAATAATTGTGATTAATTTGATGACAGGAATTTGCAATTGTAAAAAATGAAAAAATATTTTTTTTTTCTTTTAAAGGTTTTTTTTTTTTTTGGAAATTATAAGATGACAGTGTGTACAATACGCAGTAATTGATGTATTTGTGAAGAAAACGGACAACAGAACGATGAAGGTGACGAATGGATGATTTATATTGATGAAAACGATGAATGAATGAAAGAGGTCAAATAAATGATCGAATGATTAGTTATGACTCATTCCATTGATAAATTTCTTTTAATTGTTCAATTAAATTATCAAACTGTTTAATTGTTTATTTGTTTTCTTACTAATAATAAACAAGTTTTTTTAAGAGTAACATAGCAAGAAGAAATTATTATAATCAATAAAATTTATCAAATTATTGAATACCACGTTATCAATTAGAATCATACATCTATCATACATGGATCTAAATGTTAAAGTAGCAGAGTTTTTTTTTTTTTTTTACTTCAAATTAGTTTGTTTAATCGACTTTTCTAATTCAGAATTCTCTGATGGTTGGTTTTTATCATAGTTAGCTGTAAAAAAAAAGAGGAAAAAAATGTGAACTATAATAAATGTGAAAAATACAATTATTGAAAATTAAATTATTAACAAATATTTTCGTCGTCTTTTCAATTTCACAGATCACCGGTTAAATGTTGGATATGAAAAGAAATAATTTGAATTGACATTTTCCCTTTATCAGTGTTACTCGAAGTTTGATAAAATTTGATAGTGTCACAGAACAGGTGAAATGTGATAAAACGTGTTTTACTATTCACTTTCAGTGATAGTGAAAAGGGTTTAAGGAGTGGTATTGGAGTGCATTGGAATGCAAGAAAAAAATGATATGAGTTGGTGAAGGGGAAAATAAATAAACGTACTATAATTATTTTTATAATGAGAAAAGAGTGTTGCATAAAACTAATTTTAAATCATTATTAATGTCAAGAATTAAATAGTATAATTAAAATAGAATATTTAAAATTGAGTCCCTCTCTCTCTCTCTCTCTCACATAATGATGTGAAATCATATAGGAGATATATTAATTAATTTCAAAATTGTTGATAGAATACTGTTCATATTATGATATGTTGAAATTAAAGAATTTTTCAATTTTATTTTGAAAAATTCAAAGTTTTAATCCTCAAAGTAATGTAAAATTTTTCAATTTCAGTTCAAAATTTCGAAATTTTAACTATGAATAAAAAAGAAAAGATATTACGAATTCAAATAGTTTTGATATTAATAATTAC